AAAATCCTGAAGCAGATTATTAAACAGAAAGTTTATCAGCACTTGCAATGCAACAATGTACAGGAGCCAATTAATTTAACCTGCTTTTTCAACAGCCTAGCATCCCCGCATTCAAAGGAATGCTATGGACATATTACATTTGACTTCAGCAAAGCATTCAATAAAAAGTCTCATGACATCCACATTAATAAAATGATAAAATACAGACTAGATGCCACTGCTATTAGATAGATTCAGAACTGAGTGACGACATCCAAAAAAATACTCCTAAATAGCTCCAGTTGAGCTTAAGAGAACAGTATGAAGTGGAGTTCAAGTTCCAGTCTTGAAGAAATATTAGTTGTTTGATATTCTTCTTGCCAACGAATAAAGGGTTGAGGTTTGATTATATTTGCAGATGACCCAAACTAAGAGGAATGATTATTAATATTTATTATTTTAGAAAAGAAGAAAAAAATTTAAAAGCTAAGAACAGGTTTCAGGCTAGAATGAATGGGATGTATAGTCTTTCATCCAGATGAGGTTCACAGTCGCCTCGAACCATGCAATGGGTATCATATAAATTAAATAAATAAATGAAGAAAATATAAAAGGCACAAGTATAAGACAGAAGAGACCTGGCTTGGCAATACTATATGGGGAATGATTCTAGATGACAAAGTGTATCATAAATTGAATATATATGCAGTTGCTAAAAAGGCAAATGTCATTTTGAAATGTAGACCCCAGATCACGATAACTGATTGACACCTCTATTTTCCCTTGTTAGGGAACAAGGGAAATAGACACCTCTATTTCCCCTAGTTAGAATTCTGTATCAAATTCCATGGGCTGCAATTTAACGTGAACAAATCAGAGCTCCAGAGAGAGCTATCAATATAATGAGGGGCCAGGAAATCAAGTCCTGCAAGGAATGATGAAAGGAACTGGGTACACGTTGTTTGATGGGGCATTGCCACTTAGAAGTGAATCAATCAGATACCAAATAAGACTAGACACCAACCAACTATCTCAACTGTATAAATGGTTGCACTGAACTGTAGAATAGCAAACTAAACTGGACCACCAGAATAATGGTTTCTATAGTGTTTCTGGCAACACTTTTTCCCAGTTTACAGAAAAACTGAAGTAAAGAGAATGGCTAGACTATAGACTTGCTCCATTAAAATTAGCTGATTGAGATACATTGTACACCATGGAACTGCTCTAGGGTTGATGCAGTAAACCCAGGCTATCAGCACATAAAAAATATCTTGCATTTTTCCTGACAGAATTAATTCTCCATCTGTTTTGCAACTGAGAATTATAAAAAAGATTAACAAGCTTTTTACATATGCATACTTAGCATATGAATATATTAAGCTTTTATATGGAAAATCAGATCCTTGGACTATATAGCCAACTAAGTATATTTTATCTATTAGTAGCTGGCAAAATTCCTGAGTTACTTATTTTATTTATTTGTATATTATACATTTCCAAAGGAGAAATCATCTACCTACAGTATTTCTGATTTAACTGTTTTCCATATTTTACATTATGTGTTATATTAAAATTACATATTAATCTAGCTGCTTATTAGTTGAATAGCAGAGTACCTATGGCATGGTATTCCCCCACTGGGTCCCCAGGCCAACCAGAATAATTATAATATTTATAATAGTTATAATTTTATAGCATGCCATTCTGACGTTTCATCTTTTCAAAGGTCGTTGTGTAAAAAAAAACCCACATTCTATGAATGTGCTAGATTTTTATTACCGGTACTTATGTTCCTTTGTTAATTTCTTTTTAATGTGAATATACAAAGATGTGTCAGTTTTAACTGAAACTTATAAACCTAGGGAAAGAGGAGATGTTTCAGGACTAACTTGGAAGGCCTGTAATTCCATTGGAACTTGGGGAAGGGGGGTTCAACAATACTAGTAAGAGCGTTCTATACCTTATGACTATCGGCCTAATTTGCTTGACAAGTAGATAAACAAGGAAGGACGTCCTATATTGGTCTCAGAAGTTTAGCTTTTGATTGTTGAGTAGGATACCTTTCATAGAGACAGAGCAGGTCAGGTTGTCTCATGCTAAGCCATAATGTTATTTATAAACCATGATTAATATCTTAATGTTCAGCTGAATCCAGCAATTACTGTTTATTCAACCATAATGAAAACAAATTATAGCTTACCATAGTACGCCAAGTCAGATCCTATGCATATTTCCTTTCATTGGCTGACATTTCTTAATAACACCTAATAGTTGAGTAGACTGCTAGAACGAAAAATTCCAAAATTTTGGAGATAGAGTGAGAGGGGAAATGTAGGGCTAAATATCTGGCTTGCAAAGATCCGGAGATAATTGTTCCACTTAATGGAACAACTCAGGTAAGTGGAGAGGTTAAAAAGGGAAGAATGGATAAGTATTATGGTACAAAGTGGCCATATAAATGCTGCTTATTTTCATACATTTGAAATAATTTTTAAATATTTTTTACTTAAAATATGAAGGAATTCCAAAAATATAATACATCCTTTCTCTACAATCTGTAATGAAGTAAAAATCAAGTGGTAATTATAAAAAATTAACACTGAACACAAAGCATACAAAAAATAAAAATATAACAAATTAACACTTGGACATCACTTTACAAGTCTTCATACTTTACTAAAGAATTTAGCAGCTGATATAATCATATTCTGTTGATATCAGCTGATGGAAACACAGTAAATTAGATACCTATCCAGAATCCTTCCAGTGAATGAGTTCAATTTCACTTGATTGTTCAAACCAAATTCAATCTATAATTAGTACAATGATATAACCATTAAGGTATTCAGTACAACTGTGATCATTAATGACAAAAACAGCTTGATAAACATTCACACTTTTCTATTCATCCCAAAGAAAAATGATCTTGAATTTAAGAATATATTTCCATTCCAAAAGGGATTGCTATACTAATCTGATGCAGGGCTGTTAAAGTGGCAGCCCACTGGCCACATGCGTCACATGCAGGCCATGCCCACCTCAGCTCCACGAAAGGGAAAAACGTTCAATATGTCATGTGACAGCAAGGTGACACTGAAAGTTTGACATCCGTGTACTAAATTATCATTATTAATAAAATATTATATTGAGAAAATCCTGTACAATTTGTCAATCTGAGATTGCAAATATCAGCTGAAAGAAGTCCTGGATGGCTTTTCCTTTTAAAAAAATGTTCGCATATGCACCTGAGTGTCATTTAGACACGTCTATATATACCTGACAAAAGAAACTATTAAGATTCTCCATTTATAACATCAATTTATAACATCTCTCACATATGGAAATATAAATACACCCATATATATACAGTACATTTTTTCCTTCAGAAAGGAAAAAAGAAAGGAAAGAGAAAGAAATGGAAGAAAAAGAAAGAAGGAAAGAGAGAAAGAAAAGAAAGAAAAATTTAATTAGTTTTGGGGTGGGGGATTAAATCCAAATCCTGTTTGACACACTCTTTGAACTCAGTTCTTGGTTTTTTGAGCAGATCATAGTTAAGGAAATTGCACTTTGATGTGTGAAACATCACTAAGTTATTAAGTAGGGTTCAGATAGCGGTAAAGGACTGTTTCAGAACAGGACAGAATAACAGAGTTGGAAGGGACCTTGGAAGTCTTCTTGGCCAATGCCCTGTTCAGGCAGAAAACTGTACCATTTCAGACAAATGGTTGTTCAATCTCTTCTTAAAAACTTCCAGTGTTGGAACATTCACAACTTCTGGAGGCAATTTGTTTCACTGATTGTTCTGTCGGGAAATTTCTCCTTAGTTCTAGGTTGTTTCTCTTCTTGATTAGTTTCCATCCATTGCTTCTTGACCTGCCTTCTGGTGCTCTGGAGAACAGTTCTTTGTGGCAACCCCCAAGATATCGGAACATGCTATCATGTCACTTCTAGTCCTTGTTTTCATTAAGCTAGACATACCTAATTCCAGCAACCATTATTTATATGTTTTAGCCTCCAATCCCCTAATTGTCTTTGTTGCTCTTCTCTGCACTCTTTCTAGAGTCTCAACATCTTTTTTTACAACATGGCAACCAAAATTGGATGCAGCATTTAAGTGTGGTCTTACCAAGGCACTATAAAGTGATATTAACATTTCACATGATCTTGATTCTATCCCTCCCTTAAAGCAGCACACTGCTGGGTCATATTTAACTGATTATCCATTTAATTTTGTTAAATAGAGCACAATGTTCAAGTTGGTCAAGATCCTTCTGTATATGAAGCCTATCTTCTGGAGTCTTGGCTATTCCTGCCAGCTTGGTGTATTCTCCCTGTCCCCACCCCCCTTTTTATCCATAACAATAATAGCATTAAGCAGAGAAAAGTTATCCCCAGATTTTCCAGAGTTAACTCAATTTTCAGGATTTTGCGTAACACACTGAACCTACAAATTAACCACACAGTACATTCTCATATCATACACCAAGCAATAAATTAGTTTCACGAGTTTGACTTAGGTGAAAGTAATAAAATGTGTTTATCTTCCTAATCAAAGACGATAATTAACGGCTATTGCGAAATAAAATTGTTAACTCTATTTCTCCAAGTAATTTCCTCTGCAGTGTTTATGAAGTTCAAATCATGAACTATCAACATATGAAATTTGTTGGTTCTGCACTCTACAAAAAACTGCTACTTTAGCATTTTTCATGCCACATAACGAGAGGAAACAAGTCAGAAACCCCTAATGTACCCGAAAAAGAGAAGTGAATCAAGAACGAAGGCAGATAAATCAGACGTAACCCGCAACCCCGGAAAGTTTCAGCAGTGATTGCTGGCGCTGAAATGTTCGAGTTTCCTTGCCGGCCTGTTCTCTTCTCCCAGACAGGCGAGAAATACCCTCTCTGGCCCTTCAGGCAGTTGCTTAGTCGCCTTTGCTTCGCCAAGGACCTTGATTAGCGTTGCTGGGCAAAACTAAGCCGAGACGCCGGGCCTAAGTAGGAGGGGAGGGGGAGTGTTATCGTGGCGTTATTTGTCGTTTTCCTCGCTTATGGCGCTGGAAATGGACCCCTTGCTCCACGCCTTGAGTTATTTCAGGCGGAGGAAGTTCCAACTCTGTTCGGATCTGTGTTCCCAGGTGCTGGAAAAGGAGCCTGGCGATCAGGTAATGAGAGACAGGGCAGGAGCTGGACGCGTGGATGTGATGTTTGCGAGGTCAGGAAAAATGTGGAAGTGGGCCTTGGGTGGATGCCTTGATTTACTAACTATTCTCTCTTTTTTTGTATATCTGCAGATCTTTTTGCTTTTCGGCGCGAGCGTTTTTTAAAATCGTGTGTCTTCCTTTCATTTCGTATTCTGTGTGGTGAATTAGCTGGAATAAGATAATAATCCAGAGGGTTTTAACTCCAGCAGTGCTCATAACTGGAATCCCTACCTCCCAATATGTCAATTCATAATGGAAGAAAGATTCTAGTTTATTTAATTGATATATGTATATATATATATATATATAGAGAGAGAGAGAGAGAGAGTTTATAGTTAATAGATAATTAATAGATAATTTTGAGATAGGTTACAATCCAATTAATAGGTGACATGATTTCCAATACAGAACGGCCTCCTTTAACAACCACTCATTCAGCCACAGTTCAAACTTGTGATGACACTGAACAAATGGTCAGTCCTTAAAATTCCAGCTGTTGCAATATCCTGAGGTCCCATGGTTTCTGGTTTCCTACAAGCAATCAAGCAGCAGCAGGAGGTTGCAAATGATGATCGATCACATGATGTCCTCACTTAACAGTGATGCAGGGTTTAACTGGCAACTGGAAATGATACCCTGTTTCTCCAACAATACGGCCTCCCCCAGTAGGAAGTCCCAGCATGTTTTATAGGCATGAAATGAAATTAAGGCCTATATTAAAACATGCAAAATGGTGGGGAATGGTGGGGGGGCTTTCCATTAGGAAGTACTTTTGTTGCACACCTGGATATGGTGCTGCCTGCGTTGACCCCGATACGAAGTGCCCCACCAACGCCGAAGTCAACATCCAAGCCGTCGCCGCCCGCCCACCCAAAGATGCAAGGGGAGGAAATTAAGTCACCCCCCAAAAGACGCCCTAGCTATTTTTTCAGGGCTCAAAAAAAAACAAACACCCGGCCTTATTATATGAGAAACACGGTAGATATGCTATCACTAAGCAGCATGGTCATGTGATGTGCTTTATGACTTGCTTAGTGACAGCAATGTCAGTTCCGAGTTATCATTAACTGATGGTTAATGGAATGTATGGATGACTGGGGGACAAGGGAAAGAAATACAGCCTATCTGATAAGAGAAGGGGAGCCTGCAATCAATTAATGATCAGACAAAGAAACTTAGGAACCCTCACTCCAATTGATCAGACTCTTAAAAGTGTCTGCAGGCAGTTTGTACTTTTAGACTTGCAAAACTGATGTCAGCCATCCCACGTAAACCAGACAGGACACACAACTAGGTGAGCTAAATGTACTTTATTATGAGGCTAAATTAACAGAACCTGGCATGTCTGAAGTTACAAACATGCTATAGTTTCTTGGCCTATGAGCCAAGAGTTCTGTGTTAGGCATGAAAGCCAGCTGAGTGACTTTGGGTCAGTAACACTCTCAGCCCAACCCATCTCACAAGGTTGCTGTGGGAAAAATAGGAGGAAGTAATATTAATATGTTTGCCATCTTGAGTTATTTGTAAATTAATAAATCTAATAAATAAGGATAGCATGTAAGGCAGGTACAAAGTATTGCCCCACCTGTTGTATCACAAGAAGTTTGTTCAGAGGCCTTTATTAGGACTGTCAGATCTAAACTGCAAAAATCCAGATGATCATAGAGAGGAACAGAGCATTATCAAAAACTCTTATCTGGCCTCTATGCAATAATGCTAAACGGTGGTTTATTTAACTGTAATTTTAATAACTGTAGTAGTCTGATACAATGTTTTAAAAACATGCAAATTACAGTTTCTTTATACTATCTTACTCTATGTCAAAACCCAAATCAACCACTTGATGTGTAAACTGCAAATAGCTATCTCTCATGATGTAATTAAAACTAAAATGTTATATATGATAAAAGATAATTACTTGCACATCTATAGCAAACATTGAAATTGATAAAGCCAAAGTAACAATATGTTTATGATTATGTTGTCATTTTCCACCTAGAGATTCTCATAAATTTGGTTAACTGAAATGCAGAACCATATTAAAAAGAGCCACAGGCCAACAGCATAGCCAGGTTTTGGTGGCCTTACAAAAAAATTAAAAGGGATGTGGCTAATCTAATTTCAGGAGTAAGGATGTTCCATAAGGTGGATGCAACAACAGAGAAGGTACTTCTGGGGCTCATCAATGTAGGTCTTTAGCTGTTGGTACCTGCAGCATGCCTTCTCTGTGAGATTGAGGTAGTCCGTTGTAACAAGGGGGAGGCAGCTCCTCAGAACTCTATTTAAACATATTCTGCTGAAAAGACAAAGATATTTGTTGCAGAAACTGGTCCCGCACTATAATTCTTTTAAATATATAAGTGACTTATCCATACTACAGAATTGCTACATATCTTACAAGATCTTCAGAGCGTTAAATGCTGAAATATAAACATAAGCACTAGATCTATTTCTGATAATTGGTTATGGATGGGTGGTGCCTAGTGCCAAGTAATATATTATGAATTTGGAAAGAAAGTGAGATTAAGCTGCCCTTCCTAGAGTAATCTTCCTTTTTTAGGCCAGCAAGCTATCTAAATCAAAACTGCCCTCACATACAAAAGCTCTGCCTTTAGCATGCTGTAATGTTCATTCAGTGATTATTCCTGTCCTGTACACAATAAGATGATACACTTTTGATAAAGCAGTGTTAAATCTATGGCTCTCATATCACCCTTTCTATATGCATAGAATGCATACTTATGTTTCACCACTTTCTTTTAGGAAATTGCTAAAAAAAAGGGCATTCTGGTTTTTCCAAGTGTACTGTTTTAATGTAGACTTGCTATTTGTCTTTCTAATTCAATTTTGTTTTTTGTTTTGTTTGTATTTAGTATACATTCTAATTTTATATATCTCTTGTTTTCCGCAAAAAGTCCATAAGGGATTTCCAGTCACTGATAAATATAATTGTTGATCTTTTTCTAAGCAATTTTGCCATCTCTGCTAAGTCCTCTTACCTTTACCAATCATTTCTCTGTTGTGAATATTTAAGAATCTTTCCATTTTTCCCGCATTGAATAGTCTGGCAGGGTTTGGGGGTTTCTTTCTTCATTCTCTTTCTTTATACCTTCATCCATTTTGTCTTTCCATAGCTTTAATGACATAGTCATTATGTTTCTGTCTTACTATCTTGGTTGATCATCCTGATCGCTTGCCTAATCTGATTATTGTTCTTTATGTTCCATGTGTCAATTTAAAGACCAGGAAGCAGTACTGATTTATAGTACTGAAGTACATAAAGAAAAATAGGAGAAGTATTTATGTTGAATTGCATAATTTTATGGTTTTCTATGCAAATGTACATATTTTGATTTTCAGATTTTGATTTTAAAGTTTCTTAGCTCATCCTAATATTTCACTGCTGATTTTACTTTCATGCCTTTTGAAGACAACATGAGTAATAATATACAATGAAAAGGTGGAGAGGCATTACCAGAGCCTCACTTGACACACACCCCACCTGACCCGTCACAAGACCTGCTGACCACATGAAGCCCTTATAAACAGAAACACACTGACACTGACATTCCCTAAACTCTGCTGAAGATGTTACCTAACCTGGTAACAAAATGTTCGGAAACCAACCCACAAGATTGGAGAACAAATCTTCATTCTTATAAAAGACAGTTAAATGCTTTACTATTTAACAAATGTTTAAATGTATTTCCCCAGCATTTTATTCCCTTATCAAAACCGATAAAATTCTTTAGATTACTGCAATGCTCTCTTGCATGAGTCTGCCCTTGAATTGCACCCAGAAACTTCAATTAGTCCAAAACATGGCAGCAGTTATGAGTGTCCTTAGGTTTGCACTTATAACACGTCTGATGTGTCAGCTGTATTGGCTCATAGTTTCCTTCCAGATGCAATTTAAGGTAAATATCACATTCATATTAAATATCACATGTGGCCTAGTTATCTGCAGGCAGGACCACCTTTCCGTTAGGATACCGATCCGTCCTGCTAGGTTAAATATTGCCACCTTGTGGGAGGTAGGAAGTGAGCCTTTTCTATGGCTTCCCTGCCCTGAAGTGTTGGCAGGTGTTTACTTCTCCAGCCTTCCATAAAGCACAGTGTCAACCCTGGAGCCATCTGAAGATTTGGCTTTTCTAACAAGCACTGGGATAACATGAGGTGACTGTATATTGGAAGCTTGACTTTGGTACCAGGTTTTTTTTTAATGAGTTTGGTTTTTATAATTTTAATATGGTTTTTATATTTTAATTTTTGATTTGGAGCCCCAGAGTTTGTTATAAAATGGACAGATACATAAATGTTTTAAATAAATATATAAGCCTGTGAGAGATTTGGAGTACAGAGCACTTCATGCAAATAGTATCAAATTCATTTGATACTTCTTTGTTCTTCCAGACAGACTAGTATTTAAAAAAAACTTACATAGTAATTTATACAACTTATGTATTCTTTTTCTAATAAATTCTGGGAAAAATATATGAGATTAAGCACTTCATTTATATTTTATTGATTTAATATAAATGTTTAAAATTGTTTGCTTAGACTTAGAATAACTTTTATTGTCACTTTGAATGTACACTAATTAGCCTACATTAAAATGAAATTTCATTGCATACAGCTCTCAAAGGATCACCACTTCCAATATACATTGCATAAACCTGACAAAATAAATCAATAAATAAAATATTATGCATATACCCACATAATGACACTATTTTCAAAATATATGTATTTGAATCTGCATTACATCTGAGTTTATATTTTGCTAAAATATAATTTTTGTTTGATTTTTCATTATGTGAATACAGCTTTTGTGGTCCATTAGTTATGATTTATGACAGTATGTTGTGTTTTATTCAATAAACCATTTTTTAAGGAAAACTGGATTAGTATGTATGAGGCGTAACTATATATATAAAATTTATAAATCAATAATTGTTACTTACTCAGTGACTGAGTTTATATATAAAACTAAATTAGGACATTTGGTAAAACAAAAATTAGTGGCCAAATTGCACATAATAATAAATCACATTATGGCTTAGGACTGAGAAATAACAGGCATATATATATATCATCAAGCTGCCTCTTCGCCAAGAGAAAGGAAGGCCTCTTCATTTTTCGTTTATATTAGGTATACTTTTATTTTAAAAAGAAGCAAGATTCACTGGGATTCTGTATGATTCCCATTTCAGAATTTTAGTATATATTTGCTGCCTTGAGTTATTTATAAATATAAAGGTGGGATAAAAAATGTAAAAAGCATTATACGGAAGCAGGGTTTTTTGGCTATCATTAATGTTTTCATATTTATTGGGACTATCTGTTAAAATCCTCTCAACCTTTTGGACATATTTAAATGACTTCATATAATTAGAATTGTATTACAAAATAAATATTATATAGGCTCAGTTTATTTTGATACAAAAATTGTATTTTAAGTAGTGAATGAATCAGTACAATAAAGCAGGCCTGTAATATATGCTCTTCTCCAACCAAGTCCTTTATTAAATTTGTTATTCGTGCTTAAAGCAGATAAATGTCCACAGTGCCAGGATAAATTAATGCACAAGATCAGCATATTATTCCTAGATTGATGTGTTGTTTCTGAAGATGTCTGGAAAGAATGGGGGAGGAGGCAACTTGGGATCTTAGTTGGCTTCATTGCTTCAGAATCTGGCTGCTAAAAAAAAGCTTACTAGGAGTGATCACATGATACTGTATGAAGCAGCGGCATGCAACATAAAGTCAAACTGATTTGTATGGAGTTCTAAAATGCATATATTTATTTATCTATTCAATTTCTATGTCAATTCATTCTCAGTCAATGACTCCTGGTGGCTTACAATTCAAAACATATGACAGATATATTAAAAACATTTCAAAACAATAAAAACAGTAAGACCAATAACAACTCTAAAAACATCCAAATTAAATATACATATGAGGAAGATGTTTGCCCAGTTAGCAATATAGCTAGGAAATGGAACCCTTGATGCATTCAGCACCCGAGGGTTAGGAATACAGGTAGTCCTTGACTTACAACAGTTCACTTAGTGACCAACGTTACAAGAGCACTGAAAAAAGTGACTTATGACCATTTTTCACACTTAGGACCATTGCATGATCATGTGATCTACATTCGAATACTTGAAACTGACTCATATTATGGTTGCAGTGTCCCGAGGTCATGTGATCGCCTTTTGCAACCTTCTGACAAGCAAAGTCAACGGGGAAACCAGATTAACTTAACAAACATTACTAATTTAACAACCACAGTGATTCACTTAACAAATGTGGCAAGAAAAGTCATAAAATGGGGCAAAACTCACTTAACAAATTTTTCACTTAGCAACATAAATTTTGGACTCGAACTGTGATCATAAGTGAGGGAATACCTGTATAGCCAGGTTTTTAGGGCCTTAAGAAAGGTTCTCCGGAGGGAGAATGTTCTATAGAGCAGGGGCCACTGCAGAAAAAGCTCACCTTCCGATCCCCACAGCCAACATTTTTGGCTGACAGGATCTGCAGCGTGCTCATTCTTCTCGGCTTGGTTGGGTGGGTACAGACGCTTGGAAAAGGGTGATCTCTCGGGTACCCTCATCCTAAACTCTGGTGGGCTTTAAAGGTAACCATGAGCATCTAGAATTGCACCTGGTGTTACCTATACCTTGTACCCAGCATCATTTACTTTCTGCTCAGCTACACAAATTCTTTTATTTCCCTATCAATATGTAATTAAATATTCAGTAGTATCAACTACAGATTCTGCCTAATTTGAAATGGAACACTTTCTATTGCTTATAGGTAAGGGAGGAAGTAGAGTACGTGATAAAAACATCTCTCCCTTCAAATTTAATATTGGGAGTGGCTGAGTATTTGTGAATGCGTTCTCTGTATGTATCCTCACATATTTCTCTAGATGTTCTGAGATGTTTTCTACATAATTGCCTTGCATTGAAGAGTATAATGCAGCCAAGACTCAATATCCCAAAGCCCATTTGCCTTTTTTCTTTTCCCACAAGTGTGAAATAATCTACTGCTGGCCTATTGTGTTCTATTTGAATTTTAAAACATTGAACGTATTTTGTAGACACTTTAGTTTACTGGGCTTTGTTTCCTCTCTCTCTTTATTTTAGGCTTCATGGTGTTTAAAAATGCGAGCGTTAACAGAAATGGTTTATGTGGATGAAATTGAAGTGGATCAGGAAGGCATAGCTGAAATGTTGCTGGATGAAAATGCAATTGCACAAGTTGCACGTAAGCTGCATTTATATTTGCTCCAAAATATATTACTAGAAGCAATTCATGATTTCCTCCCGATGATACCAACATTCCTTTTCAATGGTTCATTTCGTTTTCCCCTAAAGCTGATCTGTGAAATGAGTGGCTGCTATCAATTAAACCAGTGGTTCCCAAAGTGGGTGGTACCACCCCCTGGGGGGGCAGTGGGATGCCTTAGGGGGGCGCTAAGAGGCAAGGGGGCCGGCAGGGGGGCGCTAAGAGGTAAGGGGGGGGACGTTCGAGGCTCTGCAGGGTCACCCCATTGACTGTTGCAGCGCTCAGGAGCCCGTGCCTCGAATGTGGCAGCTCCAATGCACCACGTTGTAATGGGCTCCAGGAGGAGGAGGAGGGGATGGAGTGAAGTGCAGTAAATTTGAGTGTGCTGCACAGGTGCTGCAAGAGCAGCAAACAGCCATGGAGCCAGCTGTGGTGGGTCCTGGAGGGTGCGCACAAGAGGAGAAGGAGGGGAGAGGGAGGAAGGAAGCCTCCGCCTCGGCTTGCGCTCATTCCTCAGCCAACCTGGATTTCCAAAAACTCACCAAGAAGAAAGAAAAGAAGCTTCTCACACTCTTGAAAAAGCCCTGCATGCTCTACTCTTCACTATCCTTTTTTCTTCCTTCCTTTTGGAAATCCGGGCTAGCTGAGGAACAAGCGGAAGCCGTGGTGGAGGCTTTCCTCCTCCTCCTCCCCCTCCCCCTCCTCTCGTTCTTCAGCCAGCCCAGATTTCCAAAAGGAAGAAAGAAAAGGGGACAGCGAAGAGCCCAAGGAGAGCACGCAGGGCTTTCCAAGAGAGAGAGAAGAGACACAGACAGGGAGCGGGAGAGAGCGAGATACACAGAGAGGGAGAGATACAAACGGAGGGAGAGAGATTTGGCTCAATTCAGCTGTGTCTGCTCCCCTCTCTCTGTCTTTGCCCAGTTTTGCAAGGATTCAGCAGCGATCTAAGGCAGCAACGTCATAGCACTGTGAGGTAACAGCCTGACTGTCACTCCTTTTGGAATGCAAGGTTTCCAGAGACAGAAAGAACGTGGCCAAATTTCCTTACAGTTATTCTCTGGTTGTGGGAGTTGGGAAGTGGGGTGGGGAGTGGGGGAGAAGGAGGGAGGAAGAGGCATAGAGAGAGAAAGAAAGAGGAGAGAGAGAGAGAGAGAGAGAGGAGAGGGAAAGAAAGAGAGATGAGAAGGAGGGAGAGGGAGATAGAGGGAGAAAGATAGAGATGGGAGAGGGATGGAGGAGAGAGAGAGCAACCTGTTCCCCATAGAAAACACAGAAAACCACAAACCTGGGGGGTCATATGACTCAGTAGGAGTGACATTGAGTTGCCATGCCCACCCATGTCTTGGGGTCCCGGTGTTCTGTTTTCTGTGGGAAACAGGTCCAAATGGCTCTTTGAGTATTTAAGGTTGCAGACCCCTGACCTAGGGGGAGGCAGAGGAAGGGGGGCTTTGACCACATGCCCAATATCCAGGATCCTGCTCAGCCAAGCCCACCCCTCTTTGTAGTTGCCTTGCCTGACAGCAAGTTCACAGGGTGCCCCTCCTGTCAGGGATCAGCCTCCCAAGCTGTCCCCCCTCTCAGGGCACTCACGTCGTAGAGGGCGGTGCTGTTCCCTCCTTCCTGGAGCAGGGCAGGGTTGAGGAAGCCCAGGGCAGGCAGCTTTGCTTTACTTTCCCAAAGTGCCGCCGCTATCG